TAGTAATTACACTAATCACTAAATTAATATCTAAAATATAATTAATCAATCCAATTGATTAATTTAATATATTTATTTAATTGACATCTAATCAAAATTAGATTTTGTCAATTAATTCTAACTCTTTAGAAATACTAATATTCACAAACATTGGTGTGACTTTTTAGGTTCACAATTAATACTAGTAGTGGGTTTACAACTCTTTGTAATTTGAGTTAATCATATTAACTCTTATTCTTGAATTAACCCCTTAATTCAAGAACCCACCTATCATGGAAATACCTAGCAAGTAGCATGAATCTAGTATTACTTGAATAGCGAGTAAACCTATTTCGATTACAAGTCCATACATGTAAAATCCTTTTGACATCTTATTTCCCGATTAAATCTTGGGTATGATATTGTCGAAAGCCAAATTGATTTAATAACTATGATTCCATTTCAAGTTTAGTAATTCGTGTATGGATCTCTATTCATCCTGCCTTGGCCAAGGACTTTGAATTATCAACTATGAAACACATAGGAAATTCATTTATCTTTATAAGTGTCGAATCCTTTGTTGGCCACTGACAAACTTCCATACATATTATTGTAATACTCAAAATATCCCTTTATACGATTGTGCTAGCAACCAAAAGGATAAATCAAAGTAGAACACAATATGCACAAAGTTACCATCGTGCCTCAAGTCTAAGGATTAGTCATGTACTATTGTAACATGAAAATACTTATTCGACAAGACAAATCTTTCATTAAGAATTTTCATACGATCATGTTCAGTGAACTTGTTGTCTATCAAGCACTCACATATATGTACTTGCGTCCCGCGCTAATGTTGATGGAATGCAACATTCTTTGTCCAACAAGCGTACATACTATGTGCATGTCTTTTTTCAGATTATTCGATATCCCATCTCGAAACATCCAACGACTTGGAACTGTATTTAAAATCGCAACTTTCAAGGTATGTTCCATGATCACCATCTCTATGCGCAACCATACCTTATAGCCATAAGTGATTTAGGGATTTTATCTTAAGTGCGATAATAGGATAAAAGCTTACTCTAAAGATAATGTAATGCCTTATTTACAATATAATTCCAATAGATAGTATTTACAAGTAGAATACATCAATCCGATTGGAACGCCGGGTATCCAACTCTAACACAGTGGACACTCATGCTCAGCTTCATGAACTTAGATGCTAGTTCTCTCTTATTTTTTCTTGTGTGATCAGATGTTATTTTTTCTGGTTTTATTCCCCTAGTTATGGTTGTAAGTTGTTGGTTTGTTGTCATGTGGGTGTTAAGGTTTCAACTATTTTGGCTGCCTTAATATGTTATATTTTGGTGTATTAGTAGTAGTGTGTGTGTTTTAAACCACCATTGAGTGTCGTTTTCTTGTGCTTTGTGGCACTGGGCTGTTTAGCTGTCGGATTGTATTTTTATACATTTAGTTGATATAAAATTCTCTATCCTTGCAAAAAAAAAA